CTCAGTTATGCAAAGTACACATTTTTTTTTTTTACCCATTACTTAGTAGCATCAATTTGCTACATCCGCATGTAAAAATAAGATTTTATATTATGTTCATGAATACAGGCCATCTGCATTGCTAGAGCTTCCTCTGTCGCAACGGAAGCACGAAGCATCATTGTAATGTAGAATGCACGTAATGGGGATGAATAGTTTTTTGTACAATAAAATGGTATTTAATTCAAATTTGGATGTCATTTTATTTTTAATTATGTGATGCCATCCCAATTATATAATGTGTGTGTGTGATCAGAAATGAGAACTTGAAAAGATTGAAAATCGGGGAACTAATAGAATTTTTGTCCAAGAGCTATTGCTTTATTGTAGGCTGCAAATCCACAAGATTTTATTGGGCTTCTGTTAACATTAAAGTTGGATTGGACCACGGAAAAACCATAGAGCTACATAAATGAATTTGCCTTTTTAGTTTTTGATAATGGCAAATATTAACGTCATGATAAAAAACTGCATGAAAAGGAAGACGATGCGGTGCGTCAAGTTTCTAAGATTCTATTTTAGTAAGCGTTTGTATGATTGGCATATTCTAAATAGCCATGCAGTGCGTCGAGTTACTTACACGATCGACGTTAAATTTTGTTGATTGTTCTCTTTACATTTTTTGCAATTTCACAGTGGTGACCTTAAAGAAGACGAATTTTTGAACAGAAATGGTCCTTGGCGTGATCAGGTTAGTTTTTCTCCAGCATAGGCTATACTTAATTGTAATTTTATTCATTATTCAAGGATTTTATCATGCAGGGCCTTTGCCTTGTAGACTGGGGAAGAGGGATTGATCTGTGTCTCTTTGCGGATCACGCGGTATTCAATGGAGACTGCAGAACTTCTGGCTTTCGTTGCATTGAGATGCAAGAGAGCAGGCCATGGAAATTTCAGGTCAGTCTCTTCTTAAATGATACGCAAATGATCTCATCTTGGAATGCCTTCGAAGTTCATTGCTTCCTGCCAACAGGTAGACACATATGGTCTTTGTGTTGTTGTCCACATGATGTTGCATAATACTTACATGGAGATTGTCAAAAAGGAATCATCTGATGGGAGCCACGTTTATCTACCCAGGCTTCCGTTTAAACGGTACATTCCTCCATATCTGGCAGTAAGAAATTGAAACTTCTGTCTTATACAAATTTACGATTCGTTAAAGGAAGGGTTGTGTGAAATTTCCGTTTATCCCCATCCTCCTAAAGGTCAGTTTTAGCACTTATTCCTTTGGCAACGCAATTCCTCTTTCATTCTAATATCTTCCTTGTTGGATCAACCAGTTACTGGAACGTTGAGCTGTGGAAGACTTTCTTTACTAAGATGTTGAACCAATGCAATGGCAATGATCATAGAAGTCTGCTGCAGGAGTTGAGAAAGTCCTTCGAAGACTATATGGGCTCCAATCCGAAGCTTATAAAGAAACTAAAGGAGTTGCTTGTGAAGCAAAGGGCTTCCTTGTGTTCTGCTTAGCGTATATACTTTATACAGCCGTTACCGCGATCCTCTTGCAGCATGTTGAGTTGATTGCATGATGCGTCCTTTTTATTAAAAAAAAAAAAAACGGAATTGCATTCTTTTTTATAATGCCAATCTTGATGTCCATTCTTGTTTGTAGTTTGAGGAGGCATGTAATGATCTCGAATTGGGCGTTTTAGGTAAGGTTGTATGTAAAATGTAAAGTCAGTTGGGTGCATGTATGATTGTTGTAGTGTTCAAGAATGAGCAAAACTAAATAAAATTGATCAAATCAAATCAATTCAAACTAATCCAATCAAAACTAAATATTTTGGCCAAAAAAAAATGAAAACTAAATAAACCAACCATTAGTAAAGTTTGGTTTGGTTTTATAAATTTAAAAACCGTTTTGTTCAAGTTTTAGTTTTTTTTTCCTCTTTAAAATCATACCTTTTTATATTTTTAAGTGTATTTTTTATAGTTAACATTAGATTATTAATTAGTATTTATTATTTTTGAATTTCAATCTTAATTAAAGTCTAACTCAACCCAAAATATTTTAATAGAGTTTCTAACTTTACTTTTTTTAATTTTGTTAACTGCTTTTAGAGTAAAAAATTGTCTAAGCTAAAGAGAGGTATATTATCATTATTGACTAAGGAGAATCAAAATTCATGACTTGCTATTAAAATATGTTACTTACAATGAATATACTTTAGTGTTTATTAATGACAAAATTTGAATATTTTAATTTTCAATGTGATATTCATTTTCCTTTATAAATAATAAAGTTGAGAATGTAATTTAATATTGAAATATGAAAGGAAAATGAGTCAAAAATATTAAAATTTGAATTTGTGTATGAACTAAATTGAAAAACAAACCAAACTAACCTTAATAAAAAAAAAACCTATCAAGTATTATTTTTTGTGCAAATCGATTAGTTTAGTTTGGATTATGTTTTGATTAAACCTGAATTAAAGTATACCTTTGACCACTCTTATTAGCGTTCATCGTTTTGGTGTTGTTTACTAGAAATCTCGCCAGATCTTCGACGCCAACGGCTAAATGATGCTAAAAAACCTATTGCGTAATTGTATCATGTTTGAATCATTTATTCAGTACCCTCACTCTAGCTTGACCGCAACGGGAAATGACTTGCTTCAATGGTGCAAAATAGACTCCATTTGTATATGGTTGTGATTATGTTGTCGGGGAGCAAGATAGGCTCTATGGATTGGAGAGTATGATTTTTCATTTACCTTGAACGTGACATTCAGCATGCAATATTACAGCACAACTTGAAAAGCTACATATTTTATTCTTCAAAATCATGGCAATTCACACACACAGTAAATAAAAAGAAGATAGACACTAGAAAAGAAATTAGTCTTAGTTTAATAAAATAATAAATATATTTATTATCTAATACAAACATAAAATTTATTATTTCTCATTAGCCTAGACTATCAATTTGGGTGGTTTTTGTGTGTGTGTGTGATCATTATGTATCTTGACCTTGCTTCATTCGAAGAGTGAGGATTTGATAGGACTTAGATTAATTCAAATCAAAAATGATAAATATTACAAACATCAATTAAAATTTATTATTAACTTTATTAAGTTAATGGGTTTGGACTCATAGCCTTTATAGATCGAAAATCACCATTATCAATTAAACTCTAACTTCTACCATTAAAAAAATGTAAGAAAAGAGAAAGGCTTAAGTGTAGGAAACTTACCCTTAGTATTTATGAGCTTCAAATTACTCTTACAAGTTGGTTTTTCCCAGCTCTAGCTCAGCTCTTCGTCTTCTCTCTCTGTTTTCTACTTCATTTTGCGACTTATTATAGCAAAAATGTGATCATGTGTCATAGCGGACGCACAATGCGCTGTGTGTGTATGGCATAAAGAGCTTTTTTTAGGTGTATTGTCACATATGCGCCGCAGCAACTCAACCAGAAGCTATAGCGCATGGCACGGAATCTCCCTCTTCCATTTTCGGGTGACCGATTCTCCTTCGGACCTGTGTATAGAGCTGAAATTGAAACTGAACATGCTCGTTAGGCCCCTCTGACCACATACCTCATTAATAATCACTTAATTAATTTGATTGAGCTCGTTTAATCTGGTTTAAAACTCGAGGATGTTACAAGCTGTCCTGTCTTAGTAATCGCTGTTAGTTCGGTCTTGGTGAAAGTCAGCCGTCCTGTCCTGAACGTCATTGTCTATTAAGTCCTAGTGGAGTCAGCCGTCCCATCCCAGTTGTCATTGTTGGTCCTGTCCTTATGGAAGTCAGCCGTCCCATCTCGATCGTCGTCGTCGATTCGATCCTGGTGAAGTCAACATCCTATCTCATCCCAGTTAATGGGGCGGCTTTCGGTCCAATTATTGTTGGGGATCTGATTAAAACTTTATAGATTTGGGTCAAATTATGAAAGAGATTGAGTTAAGATTTAAAATAATAGTGGTTTAAAAATGATTTTAAATTACAAAAAGATTGAAGTGAAACTTGGATTTAAATCTGGGTCAAAGCCAATCCATACATTTTTAATTACCTAAACAATAAATTTGGCTCAAATCCAAATCCAATCTATTTGTATCCAAACATAGCATTATAGAAAATATTTATATATAGGGATGTTGAGAGTAAATATTGCCAAGAAAATTCTTCATAACTGACTTAAGGTCATATTTGCTTACTAGAATAGAATGGAATGGATTAAAAAATAAAAATAAAAATAATATGATCAAAAAGGATAGGTGAGTACATTTATAAGAGAGAGATGTAATTTAGTTTATAGGGTTGAGAATCATGATTTATAAAATTTTTAGAGGATATAATGATTTTCACATTTGTAATATATATTAATGAGTTTTATCATGCTTATTATGAATAAAAAATGATTAAATTTATTTTTATCTCGATTTTTTTAATTCATTCTATTTTATTATATTCTAGTAGACAAACGTGGCCTAAAAATTTTTGCTCGAAAAATGGTGAAAAACTGGTTTGAGAATAAGGATAATGCCAAGAATACCATTCGTTGTGGTCCTTTGGCAATACAAATAATAATAATTAACGTCAAAAGACAATCACCGGACAAACTTGAAGCAGGAGGAGTCGCCACTTGCGACTTTGAATACTCGGAGGTAAATGCTAAAAATTTTCAACTTCTGATTAAATGCGGTTGTTATCCCTTCGATTTTAAGTAATCCCATTTTTCTCTTTAATCTTCTCATAGATCTTCTGAAGCTGTCCTTCTCTAACTCCACTGAAAGAGCATCTAAAATTACCAGGAAGGAGGTAAGTCCTTATAATGCGCATAGTCATCCTCTTCAAGCTTCAAGATTCATCACAATGTATGTCAAGTACAGGCAGATCGTGTCATCCCAATTGAACATTCTTTGGTGCGGACAACGACCCATGAGACAAACAAAGTTTTATGCGATGCTCATCGGATAAGAGAGCAGAGGCATATATACTCCCAATCCCAACATTTTTCGTAGGTTTTTTTTTTCCCTGTAACTGTTAACTGTCACTTTTAACAGGTGGTTGTGATGATTTTTGGACTCCGGAAGTCATCATTGTCTGAGCATGTGGATTGTTCTAATCCGTATACCAACAAGACGACATATGATTAAGCGCAAGACTTGGCCTTTCCGCTTGAAAGTGAAAGAATCCTTGACTCCTGCATATATTGAATACCTCTGTACCAGAATCTCACAAAGCGATGGCTCCGGCTTCATCCTCTTCCTTGGTCACTTGTGTGCTGTTTCTTCTTCTCTTGCACTCATCATCCATCTTTAACAATCTCTCTGCAGCAAAACACGGCGTGACCAACCGTCACAACCGGCACCCCCATCACCTCCACCATACCCAGAATCCTCCATTAAACCCACGGCTTTACCGAGCTTTTCTTGCTCTTCAAGCATGGAAGCGCGTGATGTACTCTGATCCACGTAACTTCACTCACAATTGGGTAGGCCCTTCGGTCTGCAACTATAATGGCATATATTGCGCTCCATCTGTAGATGATCCTAAAGCCACGGTCGTGGCTGGCATTGATCTCAATCATGCAGACATAGCTGGGTTCTTACCCGATGAACTAGGCCTGCTCTGCGATCTCGCTCTTCTCCATCTCAACAGTAATCGATTTTGTGGCATCCTCCCAATGACCTTAAGCAACCTCACTCTTCTGTACGAGCTTGATATCAGCAACAACAGATTTGTAGGGCCATTTCCTTCTGTAGTGCTTTCCCTTCCCACCCTTCGATATCTTGACATTCGCTATAATGAGTTTGAAGGGGCATTGCCTCCTCAACTATTCAACAAAAACTTTGATGCCATTTTCCTCAACAGCAATCGTTTCACCAGTTCAATCCCAACAAGTTTAGGGAAAAGCTCAGCCTCTGTGATCGTGTTTGCTAATAACAAATTTGGAGGGTGTCTCCCAGAAAGCATAGTCAACTTTGCTGATACCTTGGAAGAGCTGGTCTTAATAAACACCAGTTTGTCTGGTTGTTTGCCTCAGCAAGTTGGGTTTCTGTATAAACTAAGAGTATTGGATGTTAGCTTTAACAAAATTGTGGGTCCCATACCTTACAGCCTTGCAGGGTTGTCTCATTTGGAGCAGCTAAATTTGGGACATAATACGTTGAGTGGTGCAGTGCCAATGGGGGTTTGTGAACTGCCGAACTTGAACAACTTCACGTTCTCTTATAACTTCTTCTGCGAGGAAGAGGGTATTTGTCAGAATCTGACGTCTAAAAACATCGTGTTCGACGATCGCCGGAACTGCTTGCCGGAGAAGCCATTGCAGAGGAGCCAAAAGGAATGCAATGCGGTCCTCGAGCACCCAGTTGATTGCTCTGAGCTTTGCTGCGTCGGAGGTGTCACTTCTGGTTCAGTGGCTATCCCACCTGCTCTAACTCCAACAGGCATGCCTGTATCTTCACCAGTTACGGCACCGGCATATCCATGAACAAGTATATATACCTGTTGATACACAATGCCAAAATAAGGTCCAAATTTGAGTTAGAGATTGATTTACGTTGTGCATACTTCAAGTTACGTTGTGTACTTGTGTGTTCATTTTATGTATATCCTATTGTATCATGCTCTCTCCTGTTCCTTAGTGTTTTTTTATCAGAATCCTCTTACAGTTACTACTTACTAGGCTCAAATGTGTACCATAAGAGGACCAAAATATATATACTGGATATACATGATCCATTTCCTTCAAACAACATTCCATAATTAAAGTCAATATAATGTTACACATAAATATATGGCACAATGCGATGATAAATTAGTAGCGTGGTAGTAACACATTTTTTATTTACATTTAAAAACATTTTAACATCTCAATAAAGGAATAGAGTCGCCAAATATTGCTCAACTTACTATTCTTTTCGATCAACAATAACTTATCATTAAAAAATATAGAAAGATATTAAATAATTTTCTTTTCTCCTTTTATATAGATAACTAATTAAGCTGTTTTTAGTACATTACCTTTCCTTCCACTTAAATGCTTTAATTACATAACCTTTTTTATTTTGAAAATAGATACGAATTTCTCTTTATATTTAGAGATGAAAAAATTACCTTTTTAAATAAAATATTAATTTAATTGATATAGGATAGCTTTTAAATTTCCCAAAAAAAGTGTACTCCCCCAAGTTCTATTTATAAAACAGTTCTAGAAATAATTTTTTAATCCAAAATATACAACAGCTTATAATAGTTAAATCACTTTTTTAATTTTATCATTTTTTAATTAGTTTGAAGGTATTAATGTAGTTTATTATTGTTTGAAGTTAAGTGTAAAAATAAAAGTACATTTTATCTTTTTATAATATCAAAAAATTAATTTTTTTAAAATGTGTGAAACAATTAAAAATACTTTATAATAAAAGCTAGAGGGAGTAATATTTAATTTTATATCAGTATTCTCTTTGTTTCCTTTTCTCTTACGTTAGGTGGTAGGAGGACAGAGGGGGTATGACGGATATCACAGTTCTTTCCTTTCTCACGAGGTGATCACATGTGTGAAGGATTGGCCGTCGATAGTTTTATAACCTAGTAACGTGTAATGTATTTTTAATGGTGGGAGGCTCGTTGCTTGTAATTCAATAAAAAGTGAAAAGCCGACGAGAATTGCATGCAAAGTGAAGATTGTACTTATGGATGCCAAATTATGTACCATACTACTTAGTTATATACTTATGGATACATGTTACTGATAAACACAATTAAAAAATGATCGCTTCATTTTATGAACAGGAATCACATGGGGAGAAAAAAGAACAAACGTAAATCTAAAATTAAAATATACTGCTGCGCCCTTTTCAGTTATGTACAAAATCATATATTCTCTGTATGTAGAACCAATGAGAAAAATCATATTACAAATTGCTATGTGAGACGACTTCCCAGAATCAAAAGAAAAATGTTGAAACGTCAGATGCAGCATAGAACTTTGAAAGCAATATAATGTACCCCATGTGAGCCATCAAGTTTACCAAAATTGAGTTCAGCAGTGTCAGTTGATCCTACTGATATCAACAACGTGGAACTGTCTCTAAGCTGGTGGCAGAGGGCGCCGGCATGTCGGGCACTCCATCTTGATATCCATCCATCTTTGCAAACAACCAGAGTGGAAGAAATGCTCACAAGGTGTCACCTGGCAAGAGTATGCATTAGACTGATTCCTTCAAGATATGGGAAGTTGATTCTAACTGTACACAAAGGTTATATTCAAATACCATGCAATCATTTGATCGCTGAGAAAGATCAATAGCCGTCATGCAAATAACACAATCTGTAGCATGATTTGTATTCTGACCAAATCTCCTGTAATAGCTGTATTTCTCAGGCAGAATCTGTGAATCGTGAAGAAAGCTAGTTAAAGTGCAGTTGCCATGCATGTTCAAGAAATGTAAACATGCCAGATCATGATGTAAGTTTGGCGAGGGAAAAAAAGACAGAGACCATGGTGCACAGATCAGAATCTCAAACAACGAGGAAAGTATAATTTTTCCATCTTTGTCACGACCTAAATTACAAAAACACAGAAAATAGCACCTTTGGATGAAGATATTATTGAAAGAACGCCAGTGACAAACTAAGTCTCTGGGAAACAATGAGAGAAAGGGAAAGATCGAGGAATGAAAATTCTCATTTTTCCAAGTTAAATTTGGTGAAAAACCACTTCTCATGGAAAAGCAATGATCGAGCCTTCTAAATGCATAAGAGGTTAAAAAGAATCAAGGAAGACTGAAAAGACAGTAATGGACCCAACCTGACGAGGAATGAACCAACGGGACCCAAGATAGTTCTGAAGTAGAAGAATTGCAGCCTGAAGTCCAATAAATACAGCCAAACACAAGCACCAGCTCTCGTCTGGTTCAATGCGCATGAAGTTTTTTGGGCAACCAAATATATATAATGGCACTGCTAGGCGAGTGGCAGTTATCCCTAAGATATAATGAGGATGCAATGGTTTGCGTGAATCACGAATAACATTGGTAATTATTTGCGGCATCCAAAATGAGTACATGAGAAGAAGTATAGGTCTCAAATAATTATGGAACTGGTACATGAGCAGAATTCCTCCTATCAGGATCCCATCTGCAAAAGAAGTTGAAAAATTAACTCAAACGAACACTTCAAATCATTTTTAAAGAAATACATCTTCCGACATGCTTCAACAATGGAGAGAACCAGAAAAATGTGGATACAGAAGGTCTAAGGTTTAAAGGTGGACTAGCCTAAAAACAGATATCACTATATTATGCGACTTTCGCCATTTCATTACTCTAAATTTAACGTGGGGGCCCTAAGATAATAATGCAAGCTATAAGTACATCGGCTTACGTTGGCCCAAAAGCAAACGATATCAAGAATATGTGAAATTCTCAATCAATATATTAATATTTTAATGAAATATTTAAATGAAAACAATTGAACGTTGGCCCAAAAAAGAAAAAGAACACAATGAAGTGCAATCATTATATTGTTATTTATTATAAACATAATATTGTCATGCAAAATACATAGTTTACCTTTTCTGGTAATTTAAGGGAAAAAATTGGAACTTATTACTGAAACTTGACTATTAAAATAAAAAATAGAGTAACCAGCTGCTGATTGGCTCCTGAGTAGAGTAACCATCGTAGTTCAATGGTTCAGGAATAACATAACATATAATTAGTCCTAAGCCAGTGAATATGGCAAAACCATATTGAAGAAATGAGAGGAAAGATTGCAGAAAAAATATTTAATTCTAATAATTACTTACAGAAGCGAATGTATAACGCAGAAAGCTCACGCCTCATTGTCTCCCAGCCTTCCCCATTACTCAAAGGCCTATTTGCCTTCCATATCGCAAGGAGATATCTCATCTCAAATATCGAGAAGACAACAAACTTGAAAAAAGCAGCAGTTGCAAAAGCATTAAACAAAGATTCTGCATGGCATAAAACAACAGTTACTGACCCAACAATACAAAGAGGAAGATAAATGGCGACTCAAGCGTGAATCTCTTGAAATCTTTTAGCTCAATAATTAGGAGGGAATAAAAAGAGATGCAAACATGAACAGATTTAGAAAAGGTTTAGACTAAAACAAAGTGAGCTGGATTTTAGGGACTGCATTCCAGGTGAGAAAATTAAGTCCAGGTTCTGACCATCCAACGGCTAATATGTCTTTTCCATGGCCATAAGTTGTGGGTGATTTTTATTTTACTAACTTAAGTGCTTGTCCTTGTAATGAACAATTATCCAAGGTGTCTTAAAATGTTAGGATAAGATCCAAAAATTATCTCTAACATGCTTGCCAACCTTAAGCTAAAATTTAAATTAATTATGAAAATAGGGGTGATAAAGATTGAAAACCTGACCACTTAGTCATGAAGGCTATCACACTATGTCAAGGAACAATTTGTCACAAAAGCTTATACTGCCCAGAAAAGTACTTTGTCATATCTCATGCAAGGCAGGCAAAAAATGTACTGCCACAAAAAATGGCATGACCCCAGTTAGAGAAGATATTTTGATATATTTATATCACTCCAGAGCTGCAACCTCAGTCTACAGGCAAGGCAGAGATATGTTTTTGTCGATTTTTTCCCTCTTTTTTTTTTCTGGAGGGGGTAATCTAAGCCAGTAGAACAATCTTGAGCAGTAACATAAAATTTTCTAGCATTGATTTGAAAACTTACCAACTAATATTCCTGCAGTCAGATGTAAAAGGCAAAGATAAGCATCCATTATAGCCTGTTGGCCAATCATTATTATTGAAACCTTAGCAGCCCCCTGAAATGGTATATCTTAATTATATTCATTCCCATAATCATTGTGTGAAATATGAAATAGATGTGAAGGACATTCAATTAAAAGATTAAACATCGCATTCCAACTCCATCCATTGATCTAAACCTAATGATATTTTTGAAGTAAATTCTTACAGATTGAGTGTTGCTATGTTCCATCTGCCGAATCAATAGAAGAACTTGCAAGAAAGAGATCTGATATAGCTATATTAAGGAGCTCACAAAGTGATTGACTAAAATAGCATAATGGTACCGTAAAGCTGAAATAGTGCTTACGATTGAAGGATACAAATGTAACCATCAAGGTGTAGTTCACTGCTTTGTTATAGTAGACCTCAATGTTAACAGAAGTTGCATTTAACGTTAAAGGTGAGAAGCAATCCCCATCATCATCCACTGAGGGACTCTCCATCAATCCTTCTAGGTGAAATCGATCACGATCCCCATCTACAGGAAAGTATATAACAACTTTGTGAATTTTGTAGGAAAGAAATTTAATATTCTTTCAGCTATAATGAGAATGTGATCAATGAATATAAAATGGAGAAAACTTGTCACTTGGTGCAAATACAAATGAGATACAATTGTCACATCTACTATTGTTAGCAATCTGCATTTTTATACAGCAAGAATTTATATGGCTGAGAGAACTCAAGTACCATTCTTTGATGATGATAGGCGTGAAAACCGTGCTGCAATTTCAATATTACAATGTTTCTCCATGTCATGCATTGGAGCTGAGGTAAGGAGGAAAAAATAGGAAGTCATCACAAGATAAACAAAAGATAAAAAGAATATGCTTCAAAATATACTAAAAAAGTCAGCAACTTACAATGTTTTCTTCCCCATGTCTTATCTCGTGATTCTTGGAATACCTGAGATGAGAACATTCCAAGCTGTGCCAAGAAAGGC